AGAACTTTGCTGAAATGCCCGTGCGGAACTCACAGTATTGTTCGACTGAATGCCAACGGATCGACTGGCGCGAGCGGGGCCACCGGAAGGCGTGCAAGAAGATCCGGAAGCGCGCGGCGGAAGCGCCGACGCGCGCGCCGTCGCCGCCGCGCGAGGTGTTCTACGGCCCCGCGCCGCGGTCGCACGCCGACGAGGTCCGCGCGCGCATCGCGGCGGAACACGAGGCCGCTCGTGCCCTGCGGGAGGCGAACCCGGAGCGGGAGCCGGCGTCGGCGCGGTTTGGGTCGCGATGCCCGATCTGCTTCGAGGAGTGGGACGTGAATACTCTGGGCGTGTTTCGTTGCTGTTGCTGCCGAACGGTCTGCCGATCGTGCGAGGACAAGATCGGATTCGAGGCGTGTGCTCTCTGTCGATTACCGTACCCGGAAGATAACGCGGAGCAGCTCGCGCGTCTTCGCCGCCATGTGGAGAACGAGGTGCCGGAAGCGATTACGTTTTTGGGAAATGCGTACCGCCACGGTCTGTTGGGCCTCGTGAAATCCGATAAGAAAACCGCGAAGATCTACCGGCGTGCTGTGGAGCTCGGAGATGTGCGGTCGATGGTATCTCTTGGGAGAATGTACGAGCATGGGGAAGGCGTCAAGCTGGACAAGAAGAAGGCGGAGCGGCTCTATCGCGCGGCAGCAGACCGGGGCCACCCAGACGCGCAATGCAATTTGGCGTTTTTACTTGATTCTGAGGAGAAGTATGAAGAAGCGTTCCCGTACTACGCGCTCTCGGCGGATCAAGGTTATACACGTGCAGAGCACAACCTTGGCTGCTGTTACACGCTCGGAAAAGGCACGGAAGTCGACCTCGGCAAAGCCAGGTACTGGTTCGAGCGCGCCGCTGCCAAGGGCCGCAAAGAAGCTATAACGGCCCTCGCGGCCCTCGACGCGCGAGTATAGCCTAAAAATATTTACGCCGCGTCGTCGCCCGAGCCCGACATGCTGCTCTTGCGCGCGGGCGAGTCGCGCTTGGCCCTGGCGTCGTCGTCGCCGCGTTCCTCCCCGCGCCGACCTTCGCGGTCTGGTGCCTGGCGTTTCTTGAACGCGACGCCCGCCTGGCGAAAGGACGAGGACGCCGCCGAGGGGGGCATGGAGAACGACATGAACGCGATGCTCTAGGCGTGGGCTCAGGCCTGGGCTAAGATTTTGAGCGATTTTGCCTGCTGAGACTTGTTGAGGTCCGACGAGGACGACGTACGAGCTCGCGACGCGCGCGAAGTCATGTCGTGGCAGGAGAAGAAGTTGGAGTATGAGAATCGCATGGCCCGAGCGAGGGGCAAAAAACTCGACACTCTCCAGACCTGCACGATCTGCGGCGCCGACAAGGCCAAGGCCTGCCGAGGGTGCGGCACGACGGCCTACTGTTCGACGGCCTGCCAACGCATCGACTGGCGCGACCGGGGCCACCGGAAGGTGTGCAAGAAGATCCAGGCCGCGGAGGCGGCGCGCGCCGAGGCGCCGACGCCCCCGCCGTCGCCACCGCGCGAGGTGTTCTACGGCCCCGCGCCGCGGTCGCACGCCGACGAGATCCGCGCGCGCATCGCGGCGGAACACGAGGCGGCCCGCGTGCGACGCGAGGCGAACCCGGAGCGGGAGCCGCTCTCGGCGCGGTACGGCTCGCGGTGCCCGATCTGTCTCGAGGAGTGGGACGTGAATACTGCGGGTGCGCTTCTCGTCTGTTGCTGCCGGAGGGTCTGCCGATCGTGCGACGACAAGATCGGACTCGAGGCGGTC